GATGATGGGTGGGTGGATGGATGATGATGGGTGGGTTAGTGGGTAGGTGGATGGATAGATGATGGGTGGGTGGATGGATGATGATGGGTGGGTTAGTGGGTAGGTGGATGGATAGATGATGGGTGGGTGGATGGATGGATGATGATGATGGGTGGGTGGGTGGATGGATGATGGGTAGGTTAGTAGGTAGATGGATGGATGGATGAATAGATGGATGATGGATGAATGGGTGGATGGATGATTGTTGGGTGGATGATTGCTGGGGAAGATGTGTGTGAGTGTTAATAAATGAGTAAATAAGTTAAGAAATAAATAAACTGGCTTTAGAGATGAAATTCCACTAGCAGTTCCCTGAGGATAGGGACAAATTTTTATTCCTCTGTCTCTAGTTCAAGGCCTGCATACAGTAGGTGCTCACTAAATGGATGTTGGACAAATGGCCCAGTGCATCCACTTGGGATCTTTCCCTTCGGGCCTCCTCCCTCTGCCTCCCCCTCCCCACACCATGTTCTCACTGGCGACTCCCAACTTGTCCCTGAGCCGCTGTCCACTCTGCCGCCCACAGATCTCCGACCGGCACAAGTTCCGGCTGTTCCACATTCTGGAGACCATCATCGGGGCCAGTGACTCCCTGGAGGAGACCTGGGTGCAGGCCTTCATGAGACTGGCCCTGGAGAACATGACCAAGTCCACGGTGGGCCGCCCCCACCCCCCCGTCTCCGAGCCGGGCTGGGCCTCCACTGCCCACCCCCGTCAGGGACCCCGTCTCCGGTCCCCACGCCTGCCTCCCCCCCTTTCCTCTCACCGTGGAGACGTGTCCGCAGCAGCGTCTTGAGAAGGTTGCTGGGGAAGTGCAGCTTGAGGCCACGCCTTTCCCTGAATCTTTCTGTCTCTGCACCGTGGCCTCCGCGTTGGAGATGGTCTCCCTGCTCCCTGAGTGGCCTGGAGACTCCGGAGCCATCCCCAGCGTCGCTCCCCTACCTGCCGCCTCCTCGCCCCTCATGCTCTATGTTCCCAGGGGCCTGCCCCGCCCTGGGCTGCTTTTACCACCGGCTTCCAGGTCCCGCGTCCTGGTCTCTGGCCGCTTGGCTCCTTTCCTTCTTTTTCTTTTTTGGTTTTGTTTTGTTTTTTTTGTTTTTGTTGTTATTTTGTTAATCTTCACCCGAGGATATTTTCCCATTGATTTTTAGGGAGAGAGGAAGAGAGAGGGAAAGACAGAGAGAAACATCGATGTGAGAGAGACACATCGATGGGTTGCCTCCTGCACACGCCCCGACCAGGGCCCGGGCGGGGAGGAGCCTGCAACAGAGGTCCGTGCCCTTGACCGGAATCGAACCCGGGACCCTTTGGTCCTCAGGCCGACATTCTACCCACTGAGCCACACCGGCCAGGGCTGCTTGGCTCCTTTCTTTATGGAAATGGCTCAGGTGCAACTGCGGTGACCACGCCTCCTGCGATGCCTGTCCTGGCTCCAGGACGCCCGCCCGGCACCCGGCACTCCCCCGAGGCACTTTCCGGGGCTCCCAACACTCATCTCGCCTCCCCTTTGCCATCTCCACCCTCCGCCCGCCTTGAGGATGCGCTGTTATCATCCAGCCTCCTACTTCCAAGGGTCTTGGTTTGCTCTCGGCATGTTCCCCTCCCCACCGCGGTGTCCCCTCCCCACTGCGTGTTCCTCTCCTCTCTGTGTAGCCTGTGTCCTTCGGCCGCTGGTCTCTGGGCTTTATCCGGTCTGTGATGGTGGCTTTTCTTATCTCCCACTTCCGAGGCCTGCCCGGCGCTCTGGCTGCCGGGGGTCAGGAGTCAGGGCTCTGAACACCCAGGCGGGCTGATGGGTTTGGGGTCCATGTGGAGTAGGAGTGATCCCACTGCCCCCTGTGCCCATGTCACAGCTCTGTCTTCCCTCCTGGGCCGTCCAGGCTTCGCAGAGAAGACCTGGCCCGGTGCCGGCCTGGGGCTGAGGCC